ATCTGTGGAGGTTGACATCCACAAAGGCAGAGATTGTAGCTTTTTTTTTTCTTTTTTAGCTTTGGATCCTCAGAGCCTGGCATAACTCCTGGCATTATGTCTTTGTGTGTGATATTTGCAGAATAAGCATGAGGAAGCAATGGAATCTAAGGACAGTTGAGCCCAATAGTTCTCATTTTACATTTTTTTAATGCCCAGCCTATTTCCAAATGGAATGTTATGCAAACCTAACTACCTAAGATACATGGAGCCCTGCCCTGCTGTTTGTGATCATGTTGCTGAGAGCCCTAATTGCCTAGGGATGATGGAAGTTCCTAAAAACACTGCCCCCTACCCCCAGAGACTGAGTTGTTGGCTGGGTTCCTCGTTCCAGTGCCTTTCTGGATTCCTTGATCTGACCCATGGAATGTGGTGACAATAAAAAATGGCATTTGATGGGATTGCATGAAATTGCAGAGCTTCTGCATGGCAAAAGACATAGCTAGCAAGATCAATAGAAAGCTCATGGACTGGGAGATCTTAACTAGCTATACAATGGACAAGGGTCTCATATCTAAAATATACTTGGAACTCAAAAAATTAAATCCCCCAACAACAAATCCTCAATGAAACAACTGCCCAATAAATAAGTGGGCTAAAGACTTAAAGAGAAACTTCTCTGAAGAGGAAAGAAGGATCGGCAATAGACACATGAAGAAATGTTCAACCTCCCTAGCCATAAAAAGAAATGCAAATCTACACAACATTGAGATACCACCTCACCCCAGTTAGAATGGCTATAATCAAGAACTCTAGTAACAACAGATGCTGGAGGGGATGTGGCCAGAAGGGAACCTTACTGCATTGTTGGTGGGAGTGTAAACTTGTTCAACCACATTGGAAAGCGATATGGAGGTTCCTCAAAAGACTCCACATAGAGCTCCCCTATGACCCAGCAATCCCACTTTTGGGCATTTACCCGAATGATCACAAACAAGACCATACTAAAGCTACCAGCACAACTATGTTTATTGCAGCTTTATTTACCATAGCTAAGATATGGAACCAACCCAGCTGCCCCTCAGTAGATGAATGGATCAAGAAAATGTGGTATATATACACAATGGAATTCTATGCCTCCATCAGAAAGAATGACATTGCCCCATTTGTAGGGAATAGAAAGAATTGGAAAAATTTATATTAAGTGAAATAAGCCAGGCCCAAAGAAACATAGGTCCCATGGTTTCCCTAATTTGCAATAACTAGTATATGTCTGAGACAAGCAGAAAAGGTCAGATAAGTTGATGTTAGGTGAAATGAACCCTAAGATAAGTATTCAAATGTTTTTTTCTTTCTTGCGATTGTTCCTAACATATTTATAAGATGATTCTTTGTTGCTTTGTATGGTCCTCCCCCATGGTATAACCCCTGCTTTCACTGTATTTGATGTTGGTATAATTTGTGGAGGGGAAGGGAAAAAACAAATCGTTTAAATTGGGATACAGGTTGGACCCATTGCAACAATGAGATGTACAAGTCATTATGTCAAAAAATGAACTTTACAACTTTGGCCTGGTGGGGGGTTGGGGAGATGGGGGGGTGGGAGATGGGAAGGGATGGGAAGGGGAAACAAAGGAGGAGGCAAAAATGTTTGATAAGAAATATACTTGTTATCTTGCCCATGTAATTGTAACTCCTCTGTATGGTATTCTCACAATAAAAAAAAAAAAGAAACTCCGTGTCCTCAGAGCAATTTATCTTTGATTCAATTGGTACAGTAAACAAAAAAAAAAAGAAATGTACTCACATATCAGATATAATATGTGGAGAGGAAGGGAAAAAACAAACGGTTTAGGGTTATAGGTGGACCCATTACAACAATGAGATGTACAAGACATGTCGAAAAACAAACTTTGCAACATTGGTGGGGTGGGGGAGTGGGGGAGTGGGGGGTAGTGGTAGGGGGGAATAAAGAAATGTACTCATTATCTTGCCCATGTAATTGTAACGGTATTTTCACAATAAAAAATATCAATGCGAACAAAAAAAATGGCATTTGAAACCATCACAAACATTTTGGAAGGTAGTTAGAACTTGTGAGAGCAAAGTGTCACAAGGAAATACACTAGGAGCTCAATGATTCACGTGTGTGTGTGTGTTTGTGAGAGAGAGAGAGAGAGAGAGAGAGAGTGCACTGTGCATTTTTTGAGGAAGTTTATTATTAATTACATTTTTATTATCTCTAAGTAATTGTACAAAAGGATTGCCATTCAACAAATCAGTTTATGGGTACAGCGCATCTTGATCCCTTTCATCATTCTCCCCTTCCTCCCAACCCCTCCCCTCAAATTCCCGAGTTTCGTAGCATATGGCTTGAATCTTATGACTGCATTCTCCCCCTTTCTTTTCTTTGTTCATCTGCTTTCCTTACCTTACTCACCATACCTTATCCCCCACCATATCTTTTAAGTGCCAGTTTCCTGGTATTCATTTTGTTGGAGTGTGAGTTTGTTTTTCTAAGGAATTACAACATTTGAATTCTCCCCAGCAAAAACCATAGTTTGGTTAATATGTCTGTGCATGCTTGTACAAACACACTGTGGTTTTATACTTCCAAGTTCAGTGGCCAGCTCTTTTCCTGCGACCTCACCCTCTCCAAAACATCAGTGCCCCACCCCTGACTTCTGACTTCAAGCAGCACCACCCACGGAGCAGAAGAGCACAAATCAGCAAGGGCCTGGTGGCCAGAGCCCCTGGGAAGGCTCCTAGGTGTGCTGACATCTTTTGCACCCCATCTTACATGTTCTCAGTACATGTGTCCACTTTGTCCATTGCCAGAGGAATCAGCTATGTGCAAACCTAACCTAACATCTGTAGAGAATGTTTTGCTTTCCTATGGCAATAAATTTATCAGCTGTGAAGAACAGGGTTGGGGGGGATTGTTGGTAATGGTGCCCACTTCTTGGCTGAGTAGTGAAGATTAGATTGGCTAATAAATATAAAGTGCTTTCAACAATGCCTGGCACAAAGCAAATGTTATTTGTGAAATATATACTTTGTAATAATACAGTAACTACTGCTGGTGATCTAGATGTTGGAGGAGAGAGTCCAGGATGCCCAGTTGAAAGCTTGTTATGTTACAGCCTGACTTGCCATGTTTAGAGTTGCTATGGGTGCTCAGACCTATGGGACAAGATTGGGACAAAAAGAACAGGAACCACCTCAATTGAAGGCACAGAAGCTCAGAATTCTCCCAACTCTTCAGGGAGGAGAGATTATTGCTATCTGCTTAGAAGTGAGGAAGCCAAGGCTTATAGAGGTTCCGAGAGATGCTTGAACTTCTGTAAGTGGCTGATACTAGATGCAGCCATGCCCAGGAAGCCTTGGCCAGTGGCTCCTTGTGAAGCTGCAAAGGTAGGCAAAGGCAGGTCATGTCTCCATCATTATCTAGTCTAATGACAGTAGAGAGTTGTTTCCCAGCCCTTGTATCTGTCACCCACTACTTCAGATAGTCAGATAGTCTGATAGTCTCTTTTCACTGTTTAGAGCAGAGCCATGTACACTGTTCTCCTGAGGCCCAGTGGGGAACTGACTGTGGGTGGGATGGTAGGGCTGAGGTCTGTTGTGAAGAGCCCTGGCTTTTGGCCTGGCTCACTATAACTCAAGTACCCAAACCAGGCTACCAGGTAATATAGACAAATGGTTGAATGGGCCAATGTGAACCAATGGATGGATAATACAGCTCTGCTCTCAGAGTGTTTCCAAACTGAAAGAAGAGATGAGGCAGGCTGTCAGACATCAGCTGAAAACAGCACACCTGGGCTGAAGGAGTAGTTCAAGTGGTAGAGTGCTGGATGAGCACGTGTAAGGACCTGGATTCAAATCCTAGTATTGGCCAATACAAAACAAAAACTGCAGATAGGTACGCACTGTGTCAGCCGTAGAGGGCAGATCAAGGATGCTGTCTTGAGCTGCATATAGCCTCCCAGGGGAGCCTGGGTGGCCTGAAGCATAAAGAGAGTTCTGGAAAGCAGAGGAGATGGGAGGACACAGAAGACAGCTGCCTGTGCTGAGCTGGGAGGCAGGGGCAGGTTCACATTGGAGAGGCTGTGAGAAATGGTGCAGAACTCAAGGCTTCTTGAATTCTGTACATACCCTGCTCCACGAAGGTCTCCCTATATCAATGTGTAACCCCAGACGCACAGTTATGGGGAAGTAGGGATGAAACTGCCTCCCCGCCCCACGAAAGGTGGACTGAACAGAAAGAGGGCCCTTTGGACCTCCCTCATCCTGCAAGGAGGACCTGGGATCCACCTGGCCCCTTGGGAATTAGTAATGGGGCCTGCTCTGCTGTAGGCCGAAGTACAAGCCAGCTCGATGCCCAGACCTCTGCCCTGCCCAACCCTGCCCAATTGCTCAACCCTGAGCCCACTCCCTGGCAACCACCTCCATTACCTTGCCCTGCCTTACCCTGCCCAGCCCTGGCCAAACCAGGCGGGCAGGCCCTACAAGGTGGATCCACATTTGAAGAAACCTGGGGAGACGAGAGTGACAGGAAGTCACGAAGGCAGCCTGAAGTTCAGAGATGTGGGAGAAGCGTTGTCTGCTGAGACCTCAAAGGCAACAAGGCTCCATCTTCTGCTTCCTAAGAAATGTCCCCATACAAAACGCAGAGAATTACACCGAGTGTATGCATATTCCAATTTCACAGGGCTTTACACACTCAGTCCATATTCGCAAAGGATAGCTTCTCTAGAGAGAAGTGGAAACGTGGACTCTGGGGCTCCCTGCAGTCCCACATGGCAGGTGGAAGAGCCACACCCTTAGCCCATTTGCTGGCACCAGAGTACTGTTCTGCCCCAAAGACTAGTTGGTGGCTCTCGTGTGCTGAGTGCCTGCAGACCTGTGGGACTTGGAAATTTGGGTTCCATGTTTTGGCTTCTGAGATCTTGCAGACATTTGGTGACAGGATAGAATAGTTAAGATGACAAGGAGGATAAGGGTGGCGTGGTGTTGACGTCATGATTTCTGCACACTCACTACCATTCCTTACAACATTTCACAACGAGGAAGCTGAGAGTAGGTTTAAGTACCTTAACTATTAGTAAGGCTAAGCTAGCAGAGTTAGTAGATCTTAAGGCCAGAATTCTAAGCAATTGGGTTGGTAGACATCACGCTATACTGGCAGCGGATGGTGTACTCACAGCCATCTGTGAATGCCCAAGCTGCAGAAACAACACGGTTCCGCCTCACTGTCCTGCTTTAAATCGAAGTGGGCAGAGACCCTTCCCAGACTTTACACTTTCTCTGATTGTGCTTCATTCATTCCTATCCTCCCTCCTTCCCTCACTCCCTCCCTTCCCTCTTCCCTTCCTTTTGTCCCTTCGCTACTTGAAGTAGAGTGGTAGCAGTGACATGAGGCTCTTACTGACCAGTCAAGGGTTACACAATGTCAGCAAAAATCTTTGACTGCCACTTTGTGTCCAAACATATTTCATGTTTCTTTCTCATCTCTCCGATGACACTATGTAAAATTTTGCCCTTCACTTCCACCTTGAAGATCTCTCTCAAAGAAAAGAAATATAAATCCCACCCAAACAAACCAAGCCAGAAATATTTGTAAAAGTTTATTAAATTTATACACATTTATAACATTTATTGAATGATTCTTAGAATCCCATGTCAGGAATGAGAGTAGGAGATTCAGGGAAGTTGAACAATTTCTTAAAGGCCATACAAGATTGCAAACAAGCTGAGTATTGGAATGTATGTTTGTATCCTGAGCTTGTAAACAATGAAGGGCAAATAACTACCTCTGCCTTTGATAAATACAAATGTACCCACTTTTTTGTTGCTGTGCTTTTGATATCATATCTAAGATACCATTGCCTATTCCAAGGTCACAAGGATTTACATCTACTTCTTCAAATATTTTAATAACTTTAAGAATCATCCATGTCTTTGATCCATCTTGAGTTAATTTTTATATGTGAGATAGGAATCTAACTTTATTGTCTTGTATGAGAGTATCCAGTTGTTTCAGCACCAGATTTTTGGTGGCACTGCATTTGAACTCAGGATCTCATGCTTGCTAGACAGTGCACTACCACTTGGGCCATGCCCCCAGCCTCCAGTACCATTTATTGAAAAGACAATCTTATCCCCACATTAAATTTTCTTGAAATCCTTATCAAAAACCAACTGATGTTATATATATATAATATATATAAAACATTATATATTATATATATAAAACATCAGTTATATATATATATAACATCAGTTTTATATATATATATGTGTGTATATATATGTATATGGATTTATGTCTGGATTCAATTCTATTTGTTTTTCTTTATGTGGTACTATCACAAAATCTTATTTATTGTAGTTTTGTGTAAGTTTTGCAATCAATTGAAATTCACCTTCTACTTCTTCTTAGGATCACCTTGACTATTCTGGGTTCCTTGTAATCCTATACAAATTTCAGGATCAGATTTTCCATTTCTACAAAAAAGCTACTTAGTATTTTCAGAAGGTTATGTTCAATTATTCAGTCAGTTTGGGTACTTTTGTCTCCAACTCATGAACATGGGATATCTTCCCATTCATTTAGATGTTTACATTATATTAATGGCGTTTTAAAGTTTCTAGTGTACAAATTTACTTTGTTAACTTTATTTTCCAGCATTTTATCCATTTCATTTATTTTAGAATTTTTCAAATTTTATTTTTTAATATTTTTGGAGTTCATTTAGATAAACATCATTTTATATGACCATATGCACATAGCTATTGAGCCTTTGTGATCCTCTCTTAAGAATATCTTTGTTTGGTCTCACTGTGTGAACATTTAGAGTCCTGTTTAATTTATCATGTCCTGTCCAAGTGTTATTTTTTGTCTTTTGCTCACTATTGTGTAGTTTTAAATTCTTTATTGCTAGTGCACAAAAAATAAAACATTTTTTGTACAATGAAAGTCTTATATATTGCATCTTTGTTTATTTTCTCTATGGGGGTGTCAATTCTATAGGGTTTTCCATATTTAAGATTAAATTCTGTATATAGAGATTATTTTATTTTTTCCAAACTTAATATCTTTCTCTCCTTTTCCCTAATACTTCATAGCAATGTTAAATATAGACAGCAGAATTGAACATCTGAATCTTATTTTGGATCTACTGTATCATTTTTAATTAAGTATCTGCTGAAATCTTTTGCCTGTTTTGTAATTGGATTGGTTATTTTCTTTTTGCTGTGTTTTAAGTGTTACTTATTTATTATTTCCAAGCCTGTGTTTTGCAAATATTCTCCCCAGTCTGCTTGTCTTTTCCTTTTCAAATCTATATTTGTTGTTGTTGTTTTGGGGCTGGTACTGAGGGTGCTGCCCCTTAGCTTTTTTCCTACTTGAGTCACTCACTGCTCCAATTCTAGCTTTCTGGTGGTTTTGTGTGTGTGTGTGTGTGTGTGTGTGTGTGTGTGTGTGAGAGAGAGAGAGAGAGAGAGAGAGAGAGAGAGAGAGAGGAGAGAGAGAATGAGAGAATGAGAGAGAGGAGTTCTGCTTGTGCTGGTGTTGAACTGCTATCATCAGATCTCAGACTCCTGAGAAGCTTGAATTACAGAAATGAGCCACCAGTGCCCAGCTTCTAAACAGTTCTCTTTTCAGAACAATAGTTAACAGCCTTTCCCAATCCCTGTTCCTGGCCCCTGCTCATTTTGTTTTTTTTCTTTTTCTTTTTTTTCTGTTCTTTTCCTTCTTCTCCTCCTCCTTACTCTCCTCCATTTTTGTCTTCATATTTTTCTTTGTGGGACAGTAGCATGCTGACTTTGGCTGGATTGGCTCCCAACCTCTGATCCTTCAGCTTCTGCTTTCTAAAAAGTATTACTTTTGTGCCCCATCATGGCTTGTTGTTGATTTCCAAATTAAAAATAAAAACCTTATTACCAGGAATAATTTTACATGTTTAGCAGTGAAAGAATTTGGGAGAGGCAAGATCTCCATGGTTAACATGGCTCCAAGATGTCAAGGCATCATAAGATACAGAAATTTAAATTCTTAACCAGTGTAACAGTTTGGCTTTTAATTAATGCTGAGGACTAGATACTCTTTCCAATGTGTTTGACTTTGCTATTATCAATTTCTCCATCTATGAATTTTGGTAAAAAGAAATATAAGAAGAAATGATTGAATCCATTATTAGAATTACAGAGTTTAGCATCTTACTCTAGATGACAGATTCACTGAGCATAAAATCAGCAACAATCTACTGAGTGTGAACTACATCTGATAACAGCAATAATAATGACAACCATTTCTAATTCACTATGGTTTGGTACATTTTTAATGTTTTTATCTTAAAATTTTAAAGAATAGAATTATATAAGCTATTCTTTCAGACAACAATGAGATTAACCTAGAATTCAGCTACAGGAAAATAGGGAGAAGTCCTCAAATATTTGGACATTAAATGGCAAACTAGCAAAAATTATATGAGTTTAAGCAGAAGTTTCAAGATAAATGGAAAAATATGCTCAGCTTCATGAAAATTAAAGTAAAATTTATGAAAATCTGTGAGATGCAGCAAAAATAGTCCTTAAGGAAGACTTTATGTAATGGAACAGGTAAAGAAGTAAAAAAAAGATTTCAAATCCACTATCTGAAAATCTACTTTAAGAAGCTCAAAAAGACAAAAATAACTCGACATTTACAATTAAAAAAGAATGCTTACAAAACCTCAGCAAGTACCAATGATGTAAACAAGAAATCAGTAGAGAAAGACAGTGAAACCAAAACCTGGACATTAAAAAGGTCAATAAATCCAACAAATCCTTAACCAGATAAAGAAAAGAGAAAGATGACACAAATTACTGGTATCAGGACAAGCTTATAGGATCCATGGACATTAAATGGAAAAAATAGAGAATGCTATGAACAAATCTATGCCATAGAGTGTGATAATTTGTTGTTCAATTGTTAGACAAGGAAGGTGTGAGTTGTGATCAACATAGTTTTTCTTCTCTCTAAAGAATTTCTTTGAGATACTTAGCAAGGAAGTTCTACTGATAACAGACCTCCTCACTCTTCCTCAAAGACAATTCTTTTACTTCCTCAAATGGTTTCACTAGGTTCAGAGTCCTAGCTGTTTTCTTTCTTCTGTCAATACATAAAGCTCTTGTGCTGCATTAATTCTGAAAAGAAGATTGAAGTAATTATTTTCTTCCTTCTTTATAGGGAAGGCCTTTTCTGGAGCTATTAAAGAATGTTTTGTCTTTGATTCATGCAATTTGAATGCTATATGTCTAAGGAATGATTTTGTAATTATCCTGCCTGGTGTTTTCTCTACTTCTTGAATCTCTGGTTTATCACAGATTCAGGTGAAAATAATTTAAGCCAGATACCTATTGCCTGTTCTGGTAATCCTACCTACTCAAGAGGAAGAGTTCTGGAGGATCCTGGTTCAAGACCAGCCTTGACAGAGAAATCTATGTGACTCAATGTCTAATTAATCACCAAAAAGTCAGTTTGGAAGCTGGATCAACTAGTACAACATTAACTGTAAGAAAGAAAGCCAAGTAAGCATGAAGTCCTGAGATCAAGTCCCCATACTCAGAGAGAGGGAAAACAAACCAAAAAAGCAAATTGAGATAAGTTGATGATCCTAGAGAGTAAAATTAAGAAAGACTTTCATGTTTTGTCACATGCACTTCCTGTCATTTGGAAGGAACATGAAAAGAAATCTATTAAGGCTAAGACAAAATGTAATACAAAGCAGGCAGGACCTTACATGTTTTTAGTTACACAGGTTCCTAGAAAAACCTCAGCCTGTCTAGCATCACTGACCAGCTGGCAGTGTGAGGCTCCTAAACAATTGCTTGCAGAGAAAGCGACCCAGTGGTGGGGGCGGGGATGGGCAGAGGTTGAAAGATAGAAGAGAAAGATCAAATGTTTAGAAACATCCGGTGAGAAACATATCTCAACAAACTTCACGTTCTCACTTGCCAGTAGGTCCCAGGACAGGAAATCACAGGGTGGTCCCCTAGCTTGATAAAAGAGATTCAAGCATCATGGTTCACTCAGG